ATATATATATATATATATATATATATATATAATCATTAATTCAATTCAAATAATATTTATTTTGCTATTAAACTTTTTTTCTTAATGTCGTTTTTCATCATAAAATTTTTATTTTAACATAATATAATTTAATATAATAAATTATTTAAACATAATTTTTATTTTAAATGTATGACTATAACACAATATTTTTATTATAAAGATATGAGAGATATAAAGATATTTTATTGTATAAAAGTTATAAAAAAAAAGTAATAATTCAATTTTAAATATATTAAATGTTTTAAACAAACTACAGTATATTAATATTATAATTAATATATTTAGAACATCTTTGATTTTAAAAATCAAAATAAACACAAAAATTAATTTATAAAAATGTCAATTAAAACTTATTTATTAAATTATAAGCAATTAAAATGTTAAAGCAGAATAGAGAGAATAAGATCATTCTATTTCTATTATATTTGTGTACTTTTCCTTTGTTTATTTATGTAATTTTAAATTTATTTACTTATAATTAAATTAATTTAAATTACTTATAATTTAATAAATAAATTTTAACTAATTTTCATGTTTGTTTTGATATATAAAATCAATTCTTTAAATATATTTCATAAATGTATTAACATTCTATATATTGTTACATGATTTTTTATTATATCATGAATGATTTATTATAATAATGATGATAATGATGAATGATAATATTATATTAATGTTTATTAATCATGACATTGCATCAGGCATAAACATGCAGTTTTTAATACAAGAGCTTGTAAACTACAAAGCATCTTCTCCACTCTGCAAAAATAATAATATTATTAATTATTATTGTAATAATTTTAATATTAATAATTTTAATTTTATTTTATTCCATTACCTTTCTTGATGATTTTCAATGTTATTAACAATATTTACAAACTCTTTAATATGCATATTAATATCTTGATATGTTTCATTTTTTGTTCCAATCAAATCTATAATAGATTTTAAACTTTCTGAACATAACTTTAAAGTTTTGCTTGTTTCTTTCCATTCTTCAGGTGTTTCAGGAAGAATAATATCATTACAGCGAAGTAAATCCAAAGGTTGCAAAAGATTATATAACTTAATTATAATATCTTTTAATGTTTGAAGATCTTCTTCTTCTACAATTAAAATAAATTTAATTATTTCTTATAATATGTATTTAGTTATATGAAAATTTAAAAAATGATTTTTATATAATATTTACTAGTACAATTATTCATATCTATAATTTGTGAATCAATATCATTTTGTATTTTTATCAAATTTATTATATCTCTTTCTCTAGTTTTCAATTTAAATAATTTGTCTTCATTATGTTCATATTCCTTAGTTATTGTAGCTAATTGACATAAAAATAATTCTGTCTTTTCTTTTGCTTTTTTTTTTAAAATTACTTCTAACATCATGTTTTGCAAATATTGATCATAAAGGAGTTTCATTTCTGTATCATCACATTCTGGAACTGTCATTTTAGTTACATCGAGTAATGATTGTGTAGAAAATATTGACATACGATCTAAAGCAAGTTTTTTTTTTGCAAAATCTAAATCATACAATTAATATTGTTAATTCTCACAAATTTATTTTAATAACAAAACTTATTAACAAATTAAAATAAAATTTTTACTCTGTGGTATAGCAAAATCACATGGCATCATTGTTGATCTATGATGAGAGCTACTTGGACGAACATTTGTTATGCTATTTTCTACTATGTTCCTTCTTATTGGTTCTGGTGTAGTATTACGTACCCTAAAATATAGATAAAAATATAAATAAAAATAAAAATAAATAAAAATATAGATAAAATATAAATAAAAATATAAAAAATATAAAAACTGCATTATGTGAAAAATATTGAATATTTTGTCTAAATTATCTAATTTACCTTAATTTTGGTTTCTCTGGATGATCTTTCTGCATTTTTATTCACAATTATTTTTATTTAGTTGATTTATAATTTTTTTAACTAATAAAATATAATGTAAAATCATGACAATATTAATAATCTTTTATAAAACATTAAGAATCTTCAAATTAAAACATACTAACATTAAAAAATACAACGGTTATGAAATTGTAACTGTTTGAATTTCTATTCGAATTATTCTCTGACGTTAGTAATGGAGAGATATCGATAGTACTATCGATAATTTAATTTCTCTATTGATAGTAGAGATAATATTACAATTTTAATATATCAATTATTACAAGTGATGAGTTTAATTTGTTTTATACATTCATACTGTTAATTTTATTACTGCAGAAAAATTATATTTATATATTTATAATTATCTTTATCTATACATGAATTTTTCATTGTTAATTAATTAAATAATTTGTTACTTGTATTTTGAATATTTCTAGATTTTCCATTTCTTAATTTGTGATTTATTATTATTATATTCTTAAATATTTTCTATTTTTTTTCTTTTTTACAATAAAAAAATTTTAAATATAAAAATAAAAGATAATAATAAACGCATATTAATAAATTATATTTTAATTTTATACATATTATAAATTTTGTATAACTAGATAACTAAGATAACTCAGAAAATTTTAAATTAAAAAAGCAAAAATCAGATATGTTTTGACATAAAAGTGAAGATGCCGATTTAAATAAATCGAATATAGATAATTCTATATTTTTACAAAAAAATTTTACAATCTTTTTTGTTTGGAAATATTTAAAAAAATTATATAATCCAATCAAAAAATTAACCAAAATATAATATTTATTGCAAATAATATAAAATTAGCGACAAAATAATTTAGCAAATCATATTAAAAGATTTTATTCATATATAGGAAAAAAAATGAATCAAATAATGAATTAATATTGTCAAAATCCAATATATTATCTATAACATAAATTTTTTTTAAAAGATCTTTAGAATAATGAAAATAATTTAAAACAAAAAAATGTTCAACGAAAATTTTGATAGTTGATTTCTAACTTTCTAACATTGTAAATGATAATAACTTCAAGGAATTTGTAAAACGTTTAGATTCTAAATATAAAATATCAAATAAATTCAGAGAACATAATAAAATATATTTATGCACAAATTTTAACAAGATTAAATGAAATATTAAACAAAAGTAAATATGTCAAGTTATAACTATAGTTAATAAACAATAATAATGCATATTTAACAAGAACGTATATCATAAATTTTTATAGATAAAAATTTTTAAATTAAAAATTAATAATTAATTTTAAGTTAAAAAATGTTTTAGCAATCAAAGTTTTATGTAAAAGTCATATTGCAAAATTATTACAAGAAATTTATATGAAAAGAGAAGAATTGGAAAATAAAAATTCTTGCATTGTCAGTGTAATTAAACAGTGTAATTAATATAATGAAGATATATTTTCAAAAAGAGATATTCATTTATTTTTATATATTTAAGAGACATTTATTTTATCATTTACACATATTTTGATAATGTAGAATTTTTAAAAAACAACTTTTTTAAGTTTTATAACAAAGATAGTCGAAGAAGAAAGACCAATAAATAAAATATTCAGAAATAAAAATTAATTTAAGAAGTATCAACAAGATAAAATAATTCATATTGTGGTCAAAAGAATTTTAGAAATAATCTTTTGAATTGAATTGAATGAATTGAGTATTAATTAAATGAATATGAATAATGATAATGAAATTTTTTTTTACAATTTTATTTTAAACAAAAAAACATATGTATATTCATTATATTTATTTATAACTATCTGTATCTATCAATACATTTGATCGATGGTCTTTTTACTTCTAATTAGAATGTGACATTAGATTTTGCAAACCTAAAGCATTTGGTAATTCTATTAGCAAATTTCTACTTGTTATAGAATCAAGCAAGCAATTCAATAGTAAAATTGAATGCTAGATTTCATTAGATAATATAAATATATGTGCTATTATTTTTTTAAAAATTAAAAATGAAAAAATTTTTCATATAAATATTATATCATTTTGTAAAATTTAATAGTAGAAATTTAA